AAAAAGAAAGGACAACCATAATGAAAAACTTGCCCAGCATATCTGAAGAAGACACTGATAAAAAAGTAAAGGAGTATAGTGAAATGATGGAAACCTTGAATAAATAATATAGAATTATAGAATAATAAATAATAATAATATGGAATTAAAATGCACAAAACAGATTCAAAGAGATAGCCAGGAAATTAAAAATTCCATTGCAAGCTGGCAAAACTGCTTGGGTAAAGCTCAAGATAGACTTTCAGACCTTGAGGACAGCATTGCAGCTACCAATCACAAAAGGAAAGATCTCTTAGAAATAACAAGGAATCAAGAAATAGCAATTCAACAGCTGCAATTTGGTGCAAAAAAAAATAAGACTGATAGGTGTCAATGAAAAAGCAAGAGTCAACATGAACATAAAAAGATTATTTGAAGAGGTAATAGCAGAAAATTTCCCAAGCATTGGAAAAGAATCTGACATACAAATAAGTGAGGCACATAGAACCCCAATTAGCCATAACCAAAATAAATCTACACCACACACATAGTAATCAAGATCCCAGTTATTCAGCACAAAAACAGAATGTTAAAAGCTGATAGATAAAAGAAACAGATTACCTATGAAGGAAGGCCCATCAGAATCACTGCAGATTTCTCAGTATAAACCATCATGTCAGAAAAGCTTGGAGTGAAGTATTTCAGGTCTTCAAAGAAAACAACTTCCAACCCAGATTGTTGTACCCTTCCAAAGTGTCTTTGAATGTTAATAGAGAAATAAGATATTTCCACAACCAAGAACAGCTGAAGAAATTTGTGACCATCAAAGCAACCTTACAAAGAGTACTGAAAGATACTCCAGAAAGAGACAAAAATGATCACAATAGCAAGAACAACAATAGAAAGGAACCGCCAGAAAGGGCAAGCAATTAAACAGAAGGGAAAAATAGGGAACCAACTGCAGGAAAATAACATGACAAAGATGAGTCAATACATGTCATTTATAACCATTACTATAAATGGCCTCAACTTAGCAATCAAAAGAAACAGACTGGCAAAGTGCATAAAGAAACAAAATCCAACAATATACTGTATATAAGAAACACTTAACTCAAAAGGAAATTCACAGACTGAAAGTCAAAGGTTGAAAAATAATACTCCATCTGACAGAGACCAGAAAAAAAGCAAGTGTAGCTATTCTGTTTGCAGACAATGTAAACTTCAAACCAAGAATGATCAAAACAGATAAAGAAAGTCACTACATACGTGTTAGGGCAAAACTGCAAGATGAAGACATAATAGTCATAAATATACAAACCAAGTACAGGAGCACCCAACTATATAAGACAAATTTTAATGAACATGAAAAATCAAATAAGCAATAAAAGAATATAATAGGGGACTTTAACACCCCATTGTTATAAGGAGATAGATCAACTAGACAATAAATCAGCTAAGAAGTAACCGAACTGAGCCAAACTTATGAACAAATGGACTTAGTAGGCCTTTACAGAATGTTCCACCCAGCAAAATCAGAATACACGTTTTTCTGAGATGCATACAGGATGTTTTCTAAAATAGACCATATATTACCCCATAGACTACACTTAATTGAATGCAAAGGAATTGAGATTATCCCATGCATATTATCAGATCATAGTGCAGTGAAATTGGAAATTATTGACAAAAGAAATTGCAAAAACTCTGTGAAAACATAGAAATTAAATAAAACCCTCCTGGACAACCAATGGGTCACAGATGAAATTAAACAATATTTACAATCAAACAAAAATGTAGATACAATTTACCAGAATCTGTGGGATGCAAGTAAAGGAGACCTTTGAGGGTAATATACAGTGGAGAATTCCCACATCAGGAACACAGGACAAGCACAGATCAACAATTTTTGCTTCACCTCAAGTTTCTAGAAAAAGAAGTGCAAGTCAAGCCCAAATGCCAAAGAAGGGAGGAAATTATAAACATCAGAGCAGAATTTAACACAGTGGAGACTAAGAAAACAAAACAAAGAATAAATGAATCAGAGTTGGTTCTTTGAAAGACTAAATAAAATTTATATACCC